CAAACAGCCAGAATTAGGACCCTGTCTAATTCTAATAATTTGGTGGTTTCCCATTACGTCATTCTGCCTTTCATTGACCAGTCTATAGCAGTGGGAAGGAAATGCTGTTGCTTTGGAAACATAAGCCTGTACTTTAAAAAGTGATCACACATTTTTATAAACAGGAATGTAACATCTTCAATAGATTTAACTATATTTTCTTATCTTCTATTTAAGGGGAGGCAGAAAAGAAAGTTTAAAGACAACAAAAGCAATAGGCCTTATAGTATTTGTTATTCTGGGCCTCTGAACCTAGTGTTAACTTCAAAGTGGATTTAACTTTTTGTTTTCTGGATTAACTGTAAAAAGTGATTAGTCTCATTCTGCCTCTTAATATTGCATCCTTAAAAGAGAGGTTATATATATTCTGAGTGCTCATAGGCTCATCTAACGTGTTTTTTTTTTTGACAGTTTAAAAAAATTGAGTCATCATTTTAAAATTAGGAGTTTCATATAAAGATGTAGACTTTGGGGTTTCTGAAGTCCATTAAAAACTCAGAACACTTGTCAACACTGCACTCTCATGTGTATTGCAGCACTATTTACAACAGCCATAAATGTTCAACACCACATGAATAGATTAAAAAATGTGGTAGATACACACACAAAACAGAATCCTGTCATTTACAACAACATGGATGAAAGTGAAGGACATTACACTAAGCAAAATAAACCAGGCAGAGAAAGACAAAGTTTGCATGTTCTCACTCATTATGAGAGCTAAAAATTAAAATAACTGAACTCATGAAAACAGAGTAGAATGATGATTACCAGAGGCTGGGAACGGTACTGGGGAAGGAGGGAAAAGTGGGGAGAGTTAATAGACACAAAACTTGGCTAGAAAGAATGAGTAAGATCGAGTACTTGATAGCACAACAGGGTGACTACAGTCAAACAACAAGTTACTGTGTATTTTAAAATAACTAAAAGAGTAGAATCGAAATCATCCTAACACAAAGAAATGATGAGTGCTTGAGGAGACAGATACCCAATTACTCTGATGTGATTATTATACACTGTATGCCTGTATCAAAACATCACATATATCTCATAAATACACACATCTACTACTATGTACTTACAACAATAAAAAATTATAAAACAAAATAAAAAAAACCTGATTTACAAAAAACCTAAAGCTAATATCATACTTAACGAAGCATGTTTGAATGTTTTCCTTCTAAGCTTGGAAACAAGGCAAGAATGATTGTTCTCATCACCTGTAGTCAAGGTTGTAATGGATATTACAGTCAGAGCAATAGAAAAGAACAATAAATTAAGGCATGCAGATTAGAAAGGGAGAAATAAAACATTATCATCAGATGACATGACCCTCTATGTAGAAAATCCTAAGGATTCCACAATAAATAAAGAACCCTCCCCACTAGAACTACTAAATAAGTTCGGCAAGGTCACAGGATTAAAAAATAAATAAATAAAATTATATTTTTATATGTTAGCAATAGATAATCTGAAAATAAAATTAAGAAAACATTTTGATTTAAAATAGCATAAAAGAGAATAAAATATGTAGGAATAAATTTAACAAAATAAATACAAGACTTGTACAATGAAAATCATACTACATTATTGAAAGAAGTTAAAGATCTAAATAAATGGAGAAATACTCCATGTTCATGGATTAGAAGCCTCAATATTAAGGCAGAATATTCCTCAAATTGATCTATAGATTTAATGTAATATCCATCAAAATCTCAGCTGCTTTTTTGCAGAAATTAACAAGTTGATCCTTATTATGGATCAATTAAGATGGAAATATGAGACCAAGAATAAGTAAAACAATCTTAAAAAAGAAGAGAGTTGAAGGACTCATACTTCCCATTTTAAAAATTTACTGTAAAACTAAAGTAAAAGTGATGTAATCAAAAGTGTTGTACCTATAAATTTTCAGTTATAAGGTAAATAAGTTTTAGGGATACAATATACAGCATGGTAACTATAGTTAATAATTGAAATTTGCTAAGGGACTAGATTTTAGGTGTGCTCATCACGGACACAAATGGTAATTATGTCAGGTGATGAATGTGCCAACTAGCTTTACTGTGGCAAGCATTACAAAAGGTATACTTACATCAAAACACCATGATGTTTACCTCAAATATATATAATTTTTAGTTTGTCAATCATATTTCAATAAAGCTGGGGAAAAGCCCTCCCAAAAACAACATGGTGGTACTGGCATAAGAAATGACATACAGAGGCTGGGTGCAGTGGCTCATGCCTGTAATCCCAGCACTTTGGGAGGCCGAGGCAGGCAGATCACTTGAGGTCAAGAGTTTGAGAGCAGACCAACCAACATGGCAAAACCCCGTCTCTCCAAGAAATACAAAAAATTTAGCCGGGCGTGATTGTGAGTGCCTGTAATTCCAGTTACTCAAGAAGCTGAGGCAGGAAAATTGCTTGAACCAAGAGGTTGCAGTGAGCCAAGATTGCACCACTGTTTTCCAGCCTGGGTGAGGGAACAAGACTGTTTCAAACGAACGAAAAAAACTGACATATAGAAAAATGGGATAGTGTTGTGAGTCCAAAAATAAACTCTTATATGTATGAATTTCTTTTTTAACAAGCACACCAAGATAATTCGGTGGGAAGAGAGTCTTTTCAATAAACAGTGCTGGAACAACTGGACTCATGCAAAAGAATAAAGTGGGATCTCTACACCTCATACCATAAACATTAACTCCAAATGGATTAGAGACCTAGCAGTAAGAGGCAAAACTATAAAACTCTCAGCAAACATAGGAGTAAATCTTCATGAACTTGTGTGTATGGTTTTTTGGGTTTTTTCTGAGATTGAGTCTTGCTTTGTCATTCAGGCTGGAGTATAGCAGCATAATCTCAGCTCACTTTAACCTCCACTTCCTGGGTTCAACCCATTCTCCTGGCTCAGCCTTCTGAGTAGCTGGGATTACAGGTGCCCAGCACCATGCCTGACTAATTTTTGTATTTTTAGTAGAGATGGGGTTTCACCATGTTGTCCAGGCTGGCCTCAAGCTCCTGACCTCAGGTGATCCGCCCACCTTGGCCTCCCAAAATACTGGGATTACAGGTATGAGCCACCGGGCCTGGCCTGTTAGGCAAAGACTTCTGAGATACAACACCAAAACCACAAGTGATAAAAGGAAAAAAATATATATATATAAATTAGATTTCATCAAAGCCAAACCTTTGTTGCTTCAAAAGACACTATTATTAAAGTTAAAAGACAGTCCACAGAATGGGAGACAACATTTGTAAATCGTTAATCTAATAAAGGACTTTAACCGGGAATACATAAAGAACAATTAAAAAAATCAGTAACAAGGGCCAGGTGTGGTGGCTCATGCCTGTAATTCCAGCACTTTGGGAGGCTGAGATGGGCGGATCACTGGATCAGGAGTTTGAGACCAGCCTGGACAACACAGTGAAACTCCATCTCTACTAAAAATACAAAAGATTAGCCAGGCATGGTGGTGGGCACCTGTGATCCCAGATACTCTGGAGGCTGACGAAGGAGAATCTCTTGAACCCAGGAGGCAGAGGTTTCAGTGAGCAGAGACTGCACCACTGAACTCCAGCCTGGGAGACAAAGTGAGACTCTGCCTCAAAAAAAAAAAAAAAAAAAAAAAAATCATTAACAAGATGACAACCCAATTAAAAAATAAGCAAAATATTTGAATATACATTTTACAAAAGAATATGGGTAGCCACTAAGCACATGAAAAGATGCTACATATCATCCATCATTAGGAAAATGCAAAAGAAAGCTATAAGATACCACTTAAAATCCAGCAGAATGACTATAATGAATAAGACAGATCATAAGAAGTGTTGGCGAGGATGCTGCAACCCTCAAACACTCTGGTGGGAATGTAAAATGGTGAATTCACCTTGGAATGCAGTTGTGCAACATCTCGAAAAGTTGAACAGAGTTGGCATCTGACAGTAATCCCACTCCTAGGTATACACCCAAGGAAACTGAAAACACGTGTTCATAAAAAACTTGTACCCATCTTCATACAGCAGTATTTATAATAGCTAAATACTCTACTGTGTTTACTGTATTACAATTACAATTAGTACAATTAAACACTATCATTAAATACTGGAAGAAATCCAAATGTCTGTTAACTGGTACATGGATAAATAAAATGTGGTATTGCCATACAGTGGATTATTATTTACCAATAAAAAGGAATGAAGTAACGAAACATAATACAACATGGGATGAACCTCAAAAACATTATGCTAAGTAAAAGAAACCAGATGGCAAAAGATCACATATTGTCTAATTACATTTATGTGCCCAGAAAAGATAAATATATAGAGGCAGAAAGTTGCTTAGTGATTGGAGCTAAGGATAGGAAACCAGGACTTGCCTGCAAATGAGCACAAAGTATTTTTTCAGGATGACGAAAATTTTCTAAAATTGGCATGTGATGATGGTTGTACAACTCTATTACATTTTCTAAAACAATCATTGAGTTATACCATTAAAACAAATGAACTTTATAATACATAAATCATACTTCATTAAAGCTGTCAAAAATAGCTGTAAAACCACAATGCAGTTTTATGTGTAATTCTGATTTTTATACATCTTATGACAAGACTTTTACAAAGATGGCGCAACCATGATTCCCCAAGACCAGGCGTCCCCAAACTGCGGCCCCCTGAGGCCATTTATCCGGCCCCCCGCCGCACTTCAGGAAGGAGCACCTCTTTCATTGGTGGTCAGTGAGAGAAGCACAGTATGTGGCGGCCCTCTAACGGTCTGAGGGACAGTGAACTGGCCCCTTGTGTAAAAAGTTTGGGGACGCCTGCCCAAGACAATATGGCAGAGGCCTCCCAAAATCTTAAGAAGTAAAAATGTGTTCAAAAACTACAAAGAAATGCATCAAAATTTATATTATTCAACAATGGTAAGGTAAAGTATTTAGGTAAAAAGCATAGTTACTAACCTGTGTGCCAGTATTTACAGGATGGGGCCCCTTAGCTTCCGCTCTCTGCCCTTGGAACCATCTTAAATTGCACTGTCAGTTTTATCTTCAAATATTACTTCCATCAAGCGTGCCTCCTGTTCCAAACATAGAACCAAAACCCTTATTGGCTCTTCAGGTAACTTCTCAGGCTTTCTTAAAATTTTTAACCCAAGTTTCCAAATGAACCTTTTGCTGCAGTCAGAGCCAACTCTTTGTCAGACTGCACATATTTGCTAACAACTCACTGACTATTGGGGATGCCACTTCCCTTTCCTCTTTGAAATTCTGCTAATTTTTCCCTTTTCTCTTTGAAATTCTGCTCAGGCCCAAAGTGAGTCTTACCCATACTGTGAAGCCTTCCCTGAATAATTCATCTCACATTGAGCTGAGCTTCTGAAGTACCTGTGGTTTACAGCAGTCATCTGGGCATTAAGACATGTTTTGATCCTCGCTTGTCCCTGTTCCTGAGGAGCTTTATTTTATTAATTTATATTCCCCTATATGGATTAAAGAAGCAACACAAGAAATAGCTATTCATGTTTATCAATATTTTCTTGATAAATTCTTTTATATTTACTTTCATTTAAAATGTCATTTTTGAAAATATGATGCTGAATTCCTTTTTTGAGAATTTATCCTTACATGCTGATTCTGCTTCAGGTGTCTATAGTATGTTGTTTAGCCATTAGCAAATCTGTCCCTGGATTCCCTAATCTACGAATATACACAAAATTTGGGTTCAAACAACTCTGTTTTCTTTTAATAGATGTTTTATCTATTATGCCACGTATGATAATATACAAATGAAAATATGCATTTAAAAATTACGATATTACTAAATGTCCTTCTAAATTCACATTTAAGCAAAAATACCAAAGTACAGTTTCTTAAAATAGAAAATGATCTTATTATCTTGTTTCCTTCACCTTTCAAAAATCCACTGATAATCCGGGCCATGATGCTTTCCAAACACCCTAAAGAGAAAAATGCTCTCTGAACACTCTTCTCCCTGCTACCTTTAACTTGTGCATGTATTCTCTCTGTTTTTCCTTTGACAATCACTCCTTTAAAACTAGTAAAAAACCGAAAAAGTTTCCGTAACTCTCCGATCTCCAACTATGTTGTAAAATCCTTTGCCAATTTAACCCAGTCTGCTGGAGAGGCTTACCATTTCTTTTTCCAGCGAATTACACAGTTGTCTTGGCAGCGTGATTTGCCATTTGGTTCCTGCTTTATGTTTGGTGATTCTTTGTACAGAACCATGAAAAGTCTAAAATAGGGCCGTTCCGGAGCAGCCTTTTCCCGTAAAGCAAGCGGATACCTCACAAAATTCCAGGCAAAAGATGAATGATAGAGCACTCACCAATAGCGAGTGGAGAAGAGTATTTTGTCGAAGTTTGCAACCCAATCCTTGGGAGCCAGAGGTGGGAATTTTTAAATGAGGTCTTTCCTTGGAATTTTCTTAAAGTGGTATCGCTGCTTGCTGATACTGAAGTTTGTCAAAGAATGTAAAATCACCAGCTTAGAGGGCTTTTTCCTCTTTGTTTTTAAGAGAGACAAAATGTGCAAATTGATTCTCTACAAATTGGGAGAACTTCCAAGAGTGGAGTCACAGGATACTGTAACATAATCAGTTGGCAACTTCTGCGTCAATTTGGGGAGAAGGTTGATTCATTTTTCATGGTCAAATATCAGATATTAAATTAATGCACTGAAAAACAGTATTCCCCTTAAAAAGTAAAAATGAAAACTAAGAGGCTAACATTACTTTGAAAAAAATCGTTCTGTCTGTTGTTAATCTTTTTTCTTTTTTGGGGGGTAAAGCTTCATATATTAAGAGCAAGTCTTATTATTTGGGCTGACCGTTAAATACCCTAAGTATTTTTGTTTTTACACAATATGTGGATTTTCTCATTTTAAGTCCAGCAAACAATTTCTGAGTGCCACGAATTCTTAGGTATTACGAAACTATCTTAGAAATACATGACGTATACCATGCTGTATACCTGAGTAGCTCTTGAAGACCAGATTTAATAGATAACTGATAAATATTTTATTACAACTCATACCTTGTTTTGAAACCATTTTTTTTTTTTTAAATCTAACTCTGCTTTCTAGGTTATTCATCTCTATGAGTAATTAAGTCAGCCACTGTAAAATCGCGTGATAAAGTTAGGGTTCCTTGACAAGGAGCCTCGCAAATAGGCTTTTCACAGAACAAAAAATAGCAGCTATTGTAGTAGAGGAATATACTTTAAAATCTTCATTTCCGAAGGAAATCTGTCATATTAATGAGACACTTAATACGGTGACTTTTCAGAATGTTTCCGAACAATGCTTGGAAGTATTTTTACCAGCATAAAGCCCCGGCCTACTCAGTCATGCTAGGAACTGCCATTGTATTTAACTTACTAAATTGTTATTGTCCTTTTTAGGAATCTTTTCTCACAATAAACCTTGGGTGTTTGAAGCGCAGGGACTACGTTACCTCCTCATCTTTGGTATCTAGCAGTGCGCAGTGATCCCTTAAATCCGGTACTTAGGCTCACTGCTAGCTAACTAACGTTGGCTTCGTTACAGAAACCCACTGGCCTCAGTTTTTCATCCGTCAGACTGGCACTGTTACTCCCTGTGTCGTGGGATTGCTGTGGAGGGTTCAAAGAGATAACCCATAAACAGCTCTCAGAATGAACGCTCAAGGTGGGATGTCATTGTTGTAATCCCTCAACGTGTGCTATCGAATGAGAGGCCGAGTGACTGAATGAATGTATGAATGAAGGAAAAGGTCAGAAACTGGCAGTTCCCGAGGTTGGAGCTGGCTAAATTACCCCTTCAAGTCGCTAAGCAAAAAGCCGCTCCTTCGACACAAAACCCCACGCCGGAGCCGGAAGCAAGAGTAGAGCGGCGGGCGGGGCCAGCATAGAGGAAGTCGCTCTCCCGGCCAATAGACACATCGATTGGCAAACGAGCGTTTCGCCGCACCTATCGTGAGACTGCGAGAACTCAGGGGATTATCGCGAGGTTCCACACTCCTCTCCCGCTCCCTCTTCCCCAGTTCCCTGTAGCGCGGGTTCCGCTCCGCCCCCGGGGCCCCGCCCCCGCCACCCTCGCCGCCCGGCGCTCCGCCCGCCCCCGCCCGGCTCCCTGCCCCGCCCCGCCCGCCCGCCGTCCCCGGCTTGCCTTCCAGCGCAGCTTGCGCTCCGGAGCGCTGGCTCTGCCGGCGCTGAGGTGAGTAGAGCTGCCTGCCTCATCGGGTGGTTCAAGTGGCAGGGCTCTCTGACCCGGCCACCGGCGGGGACGCCCCAGACCTGGCCTCGCAAAAGCGTCCGGGCCGCGGCGAGTGGGACAGCGGGGCGGTCTGGGCCTCGGGTGGCCACAGCTGCCGGGTTCTCCTGGCGCTCCGCGACCCGCGGCCCCCGGCCTCTGGGACCCCAGAACCCTGGATACCGGGTCCCTGAAATCCCTGCTGCTGGGCTCGCTGCTTCCCAACTGTAACGACCTCAGTGTCTGGCGTTTCGCCTAAGACTTCTGCCAGTGTTTGTTACCACTGAGCTGAGAAGATACCCTTTTACAAATGCTTTTAATATGTGGCTTGTAATTCTCTAATCTCCAGCGTTAGGAAATTGAAATGGGTGTTCTTCTAAATTGAGTACGGGGAAGTCAGTCTAAGGGACTCCTTTCTTTCAAAATACACTTTAAAATGTAGAATTTTGTTAAATGGGAGGTTTTTAATTTTGTTTTTAATAATGATAGTGTTCACCTGCCAGAAAGCTCGTGTGTAGGTGCGGATCTACACAGCTGATGTGAAGTAATACTATTTGCCTCAACTACGTAAGAGGTAGTTTAACCTAGTTAAGAGGTAGTAAAGTGAAATGGGGTAAGAAAATTATCTTTGTTAAAGGCTGTGTATGGCCCATGAATTGCATGCTGCAAAATTGTGAGCATTGTTGATGCTTTATCGGCATTATTGGCAGCTTTGGGGTTTCATTAGTTTAGATTTTATCTCCTAAACAGCCTGTGTAGCAATTTTAACAGAGTGTAACGGTGTTTTTGAGGCAGCCAATCCCATTTCAGACATTCAAAGCCGTCAGGTTACAGGGAATCTCTTACTGAATCTTCCCTCAGTGAGTGTGGTTTTGCATTATAGGGCGGCAGTGCACCAGTCCACCTGCGATGGAACTATGGTACGTTACTCTCTGAGAAACTCAGTTTCCTCGTCTACAAAACGTGCTAACTAATGTCTATTGCAGTGCATGGTTGTAAAGATTAGACGTCCTTATGACATGCAGCAAAGTTAGAGGATCTATCCGTTGTCTTGACATGGGTGGTTGAGAAATCAACCCTGCAACGTTGTTTCACGTGTCATCAGATATTAGAAGACTTACTTTAAAATTTTATTTTAACTTCCTGGGTACATGTACAGAATATGCAGGTTTACATAGGTAAATATGTGGTGATTTGCTGCACCTATCCACCCATCACCTAGGTATTATGAAGGGTTACTTTTAGATAGTGTGCTAGATGCAGGTATGCAAGCGTGAAGAAAACAACACAGTCTCTGCCCTCAGGATTTCTAAATAAGTTTCGGAAGTGTTTATTTACAGGCTTTTTGGCTTGATTGACATTAAACAGGTGCAATGATAAATATTTAGATGACAAATTGTGAGGAGTCATATGAAGAAAAAAAGCCACGTTGCTCTGAAAGAACACCAGGGGAATACTTTGGGAAAGGGAAGTTATTTTTACTTTTATTTTTTTTGAGCCGGAGTCTTGCTGTTTTGCCCAGGCTGGAGTGCAATGGTGCGATCTCCTCTCACTGCAGTCTCTGCGTCCCAGGTTCAAGCGATTCTCCCACCTCAGCTTCCCGAGTACTGGGATTACAGGTGCCTACCACCATGCCCCGCTAATTTTTGTATTTTTGGTAAAGAGGGCGTTTCCCAAGTTGGGCAGGCTGGTCTCAAACTCCTCACCTCAGGTAATCCACTCGCCTTGGCCTCCCAAAGTGCTGAGATTACTGGCAAGAGCCACCGCGCCTGGCCCAGGGAAGTGATTGTTAAGTTGAAATCTGGAGAATAATGGGACATTGCTTTCTAGGCTAAGAGGAGAGCAGCAAATGCTGTTAGGGGTTTGGTAGCTTTAAAGATTAGAAAAAACCCCGGAATTTGGTGAGGAGCCTAGCAGAGTGCTGAAGAAGTGGGTCAGGGCAGGTGGTGAGGCGTCTTCAAAGCCTGGCATGAGTTCGATTTTCTAAATAAGAAGTTTCTGAAGGGTTTATTTAGTAAGATGTATGCTAGAAAGGTGAGACGTAATAGCATGTACATTTTTAAAAGCCCACTGCTGGGATTAATGTGTTGGAAGTGACCAGAGTGGACACAGGAAGACCAGTAATATAGCTGGCCAGGCAGGAGATGACGGTGGCTTGTGGTTTTGGCAGATGGAGAGATTTGGATGGATTTCAGATGTATTTGGGAGATGGAAGCCACTGGCCTTGTGATAGATTGGAGGTGGTTAGAGAATGAGAGTGGAATCATTCATGACTTCCTGTTTCTCCAGCTTGAACCACTGGGTGATTGGAGGGGGTGTGCTATTTACTGAGATGGGAAAAACTAGGGAGATTCATATTGGTGATGAAAGTAGAAAGCTCTTTGTGTTAAGTCTGAGCTGCTTGTGAGACATCTAAACTGCTAACAGTTTATGACTTCAGTGATTAATTACCTATAAAGTTTCACTTTTTACACAGAATCATTGAGGTTATTTGTAGTCTATTCCCTTTGCTTTATGGGTAGGAGAATTAAGATGTGGAAGGATTATCTTGCACAAAGTCACATAATACGTCTTAAAAAATAGGCGGGTAGGTGGAATATGGGAAAGTATTGGATCCTTACGTTGCATTGAAAATAGTTAATATTTCATACTTTGCCTTTTAATATAAAATGGCAAGTGCTGTCTCATTAGGAATTTGAGTTTGGAAATAATAAAATATAACCAAAAAATTACAAAACTCTGTTTATTGAAAGCTTATGTTGCTGGATTTTGTACTAATTTGGTATTAATTACCAGTGAAAATCACTTTCCTTAAGAAAAAAAAATTCTTGAAAGGTACTTTCCAATAGAGAGTTTGGAAAGAGTGCTGAGGAAAACAGTCAAATCTTTAAGCAAAACTCAGCTTCTTTGTAGTTGTTTTAGCATTTCCTTATTATCCCGTGGAACCTTGTGAGTCACTGTCTGTAAAGAACCCAGGCTTTGAAATCCACTGGACCTGGCATCAAACCCTTGCTTTTATCCCTTGTGAACTGTTTGACTGTGGACAAATCACTGAAGCCTT